GCGGGAAGCCCTTCTTCCGAGGTTACTACACCATGCTCATCTTCCACTCCGGGGACAAGGAGTGGCTCCTGCAGGACACGACGGACAACGTCACCGTGGCCGTCCTCTCGCTCGCGCAGGAGACCGGCTTCCCCATCGGACGGCAGACGTGGCGCATGAGCAGCAGCCTCTGTGGCTTCCCCGCCGGCGCCGCCGTGGTGCTCGGCCTCTCGACTTGCACGACCCAGGAGTTCATGTGCACGGACGGGTCGTGCGTCCACCGGGGCAGACGGTGCAACCTCCGGGACGACTGCGCGGACGGCAGCGACGAGCAGAACTGCACCATCGTCCACTTCAGCGACAGCTACCACAACCACCGCCCTCCGCCGGGCCCGAGCGTGGGCGCGCCCCTCGAGATCGACGCGGGCGTAGAGCTCATCAGGTTCTCCAAGATCGATGACATCAACCTCGCCTTTAACATGGAGATCGAGGTGGCGCTCGCCTGGACCGACAGCAACCTCAGGTACAAGAACCTCAAGGAGCAGGAAGGCTGGAACAAGCTGAGCAGCCTCGAGGTGGAGAAGATCTGGTCCCCCGATGTGGAGTTCCTCAACGTGAACAATGGGGAACTCAGGAGGCTAAAGAGCGGGGTCTTCGTGCAGCGGCTGGGCGAGGCTGACCCGCCCGTCTTCACGGACGTCAAAATGGGTGAGGACTGCATGGCAGAGCTTGAAATGATTCACGAACCAGATGAGGAACAGTTGAACGTCATTTGATTTTACTGAATAACTGATTTGTGCGCAACAAAGATTTCTTTCATACTGCACACCATTTTTTTAACATCAAAAGAATCGTCATTCGCAGATGCTTTTACCTCATCAATTCTCCCTGCCTAAAACAGACACAATGTACCAGGCACAAGCAGGCCGACTGGTGCAAAGGGAACAGTACTATGGGAGCTTCAATTGCCATTTCGGTCTCTTCCACTACCCGTTCGATACCCAGAGTTGCAGCATCCTCGTCAAACTTGCTTCTGCCGATACCCAGGTCATCGTGTTGAGAGTAAGTTCCTCGGAGGCAAGGTCAGACCGCGCTTCAGGAAAGGGAGTTTGTTCAACCGCTAGAACGTTAGCATTTAACGTACTATTAATACTATGTCGTCGTTCAATTCTGATATTTATGAAAATTACACGTCTACCATTCTAGAGTCATACATCAGAATCTTTTATTATTAAAAGAAAATTTCTCTGTTAGTTGATGTTATGCGTTTAAGGCTGATAAAGATTCGAAAACGAAACACAACTACATTTTACATTTTCATCGTAAAAACTTGGTTATCTCTTATAAGAATGACGTCTATGGTGATTTTTCTTTATAGAGGAAAGTATCACGCACGCACTTCTAGCTATCTCTCTATCTGTCGGACTATATGCACAATTATATATATATATATATATATATATATATATATATATATATATATATAATATATTATATTATGTATATGTATGTATATATATATATATATATATATATATATATATATATATATTATATATATATTATATATATATATATATATAGGACACATAACTTGCCAGTGGCTGAATCATTCCTGTCAATACACAGGTGCATTGCAGATTGACAAAGACAATGGTTTCATAAATCTTGCATGCCACATATCAATACCATCCTCACATAAAGAAGATATTTGCAACAGCGCTGCAACACAGCTATAACGGCCATAATTCTTCGCAATGCAGAACGGATCGGTGTTCTACAACGGGCGCAGCGAACTCCCCAAATACAGCATTCGGAATATCGCTGCCCATCTCACCGCCCGCTCTGACTACGCCGTCCTGCAGGTGGGTCGATTTCATGGACTATTTCTGTGGAGATTAGAGTATGATGATTAGATATCTTGCTAAAATATCGGGAAAAATGCGATATAGGAAATATAGTATCAATAAAACTATGCAATCTAACAGCTAAAGCATCGGTAAAACAGTATGATTTATTTTTGTTATTAAATATGATGGACTATACTAAAGCCTACATTCTCGCCATTAATGTAAGGTAACATTCGACCTGGAGCGTCGATGGAGCTTGTTGGTTCTCACTATCTTCATGCCAACGTTCCTCCTTCTCGGAATCGGTTATGGCACACTCTACATCCAGCTCAAGGCCTTCCAGGTGCGCTCCGGAAATACACCGACGTATACATTATTTTAAGATGTAGTCTATGTATAGAAGAGAGATATGCACGGAATATATAGACTCACTCTCTCTCTCTCTCTCTTCTTTCTTTCTTTCTTTCTTTCTTTCTCTCTCTCTCTCTCTCTCTCTCTCTCTCTCTCTCTCTCTCTCTCTCTCTCTCTCTCTCTCTCTCTCTCTCTCTCTCTCTCTCTCTCTCTCTCTCTCTCTTTATATATATATATATATATATATATATATATATATATATATATATATATATACATATTATATATATATATATATATATATATATATATATATATATATATATATATATATATATATATATATATATATATATATATATACACATTCATACATATCTTTAAGATCAAAGCTATAAGACGTCCACCTGCAGGTCAGGGCCATCATGACGCTGACGACCCTGCTGGTCCTGTACACCCTGTTCAACCAGGTGTCCAGCGCCCTCCCCGACACCGCCTACATCAAGATGATCGACATGTGGTTCTTCTTCTGCATCTTCCTCATCTTCAGCGTCATCATCGTGCACATAGCAGTCGAGCGCCTCGAGCCCGGGGAGGCCAAGCCGCCGAAGACGGTGCGGGTGTCGCCGGCGGAGCAGATGCGGCCGGAGGGAAGGTGGCTGCTCAGAGTCAAGTGAGGAAGGACGCTTTCAAATGCAAATTCGTGATGTTTTGTTCTGTTTGTTACGGTGGTTATGCTTCTTACATAAAAAAGTAGTTTTTCTTTAATTTTACGAGTTGGTTCAAATCGTTTTTTTTTTCTGTTTGTGTATATTTTATCTATTTTCCTTGATATCCCAGTAATCGTCAGGGTTAATGGTGGAAATCATGAGCATAACTCTTTTTCTTTCGGTGTCCCTATTGTAAATGCAATTCATATTAATAGCAAATTTTATTTAAAGTGATCCCTTTGTCTCTGGGCAAAAGGTGAATTTCACGACAACTTTACCTAGGGGCGAATTATACTAACGATCCCTTTTGATATGAAAGGAATCAGCGAAGTTTAGTCAGTGAAGTTAGTCTTCCTCTCCCAGAAGCATCACTGCCACGCAGGTCCTCGAGGTCAGCAGAAAGATGGTGTTTCCTCTCATCGTGTCTGTGTTCGCCCTCGTGTACTGGCTGGCTATTTTTGTCCACTAGGAATAAGTCTTCTTAAACAAACAGCCCAAAACTTTGAAGGTGAAGACTAAAGGTTCGCAGGTAAGGACGTCTGTGTGGCCATACACGCGCAAAACCCTATGTATTCATCTACTTACACAATGACATAAATGGCATGATGACGTAAATGAACTACTTCCAAACAGGAATGAATACCTGCATATGCAATAAAGTATACTCGTAGAAACATACCTGGTCATTCCGATGGATAATGTCAGCAGACTCCACATCTAACAATATCGCATTTCCCTAATCATTAATCATTTACTCACCAAAACAGGTCACCCTCGACGGTAATGGTTGCGAGGCCACTCAGTGAGCTTAGTAAAGAAGCGCTGCCCGTCCCCTCTCTCCTTTTGGACCAGGCAAACCCCGGCTTCTGTTCGCCCTGGCCAAGGAAGAGGATTTCACCTCCTTCCTGTTCTTAGCCAACCAGGAGCTAGGAACAAACCCCGCCTATCTGGGATGACCCTGCACCCTCCTGACCTCTAAGTGACCTCGCTGTTAACTTCAGAGACGTCCTATTATAGGCACTATGTATATACCATATAAATATAATATAGATATAGATTCTTTGTAATATTTTCAAACAGGGCAGTCGAGCCTTCTGGTCTTCAACCTAGACGTCTGTATTGAGTGACGCCACATCTCGCATCGTAATTTTAACGTGTTCTACTTAGTGTTTCAGCATTGTGTGGACTGCTGATTTTTGTCTCTACATATCCTGGACTGTAATAAATCATAATCAACTTGGTATCTTTGTCTGCTCATCACCAGTCTTTGTACGTAAAGGTTTAAGTGAAAATAGAGTGAGAGAGAAAGAGAGAGAGAGAGAGAGAGAGAGAGAGAGAGAGAGAGAGAGAGAGAGAGAGAGAGAGAGAGAGAGAGAGAGAGAGATTGAGAGAGAGAGAGAGAGAGAGAGAGAGAGAGATTGAGAGAGAGAGAGAGAGAGAGAGAGAGATTGAGAGAGAGAAAAAGAGATTGAGAGAGAGAGAGAGAGAGAGAGAGAGACCTCTCCAGTGCTTCCGCTCCTGCAAGCCACTCCACTGATATCGAGGACCTTCACCCTGGCCTCTCCTAAAAACATATGTATGTTTTAGCTTTATTTATCACTAAAGTGACTAGATGTACAGTGCTTCAGGTGCTTACGAATGGCATGTGGAAATGCCGGATGCCGACTTTGTCTGAAGCTCTCTCCTGCTGCGAATACTTGGAGGATTCTTTGTTTTCCTGGGCAGGGTTGGGGTAGTAGCCCCATTGGGGTGCAAGGGGCACAGCCCCCTGTATTAAACAATAGTGACTTAATTGTACTGTCGTTACAGCAATGCAAATATCAAGAGTGGTGCGACTCTGGTATGGAAAAGACAATCTAGAGATTGAGAGAGAGAGAGAGAGAGAGAGAGAGAGAGAGAGAGAGAGAGAGAGAGAGAGAGAGAGAAGAGAGAGAGAGAGAGAGAGAGGAGAGAGAGAGAGAGAGAGAGAGAAGAAAGAGAGCGAGAGAGAGAGAGAGAGAGAGAGAGAGAGAGAGGAGAGAGAGAGAGAGAGAGAGAGAGAGAGAGAGAGAGAGAGAGAGAGAGAGAGAGAGAGAGAGAGAGAGAGAGAGAGAGAGAGAGAGATTCCTATCTATTTATATAATGGTCCTATGCAGCATATATCGGAAGTTTGTGACCGAGGGGAGGAGGGAAAATTTTTAGAGAAGAAATATTATAAACATTTCTAGGCCTTATTTGTTTACATATACAAAAGTCTTCTTCCTCTTGTATTGTGAAACAAATAAAAGAATGAAAGATGTGGAAAAAGGGAGAAAGAAAGAAAAGAGCTTTTGTAGCAGCTTGAATCCGCGTGAATCCACGAACGGTCTTTTAGAACCCTCGCTTCATAACAGCTGATTCTTACACAACAATAACAACGCGTGCAGAAGAGGAAGGTGCTTGCGGCTTCATCTCCCTCTCACTTTTAGATAATTCAAAGAAATTAATAACAAATAAGACCTAATTATCCTCAATATGGACGGCGAAGCTAATAAAGAGGTATGTTGTGAAGGTAATTTTGTGATTTGTTGTTAGTATCGAAATGGAGTAAGGGAGAAATGACGAGTCGGTAGATAGAAATAAAGGTGAGTTTTTATATAGTTCCGCCAAACGGATCATGCTGATTTTGGTATCGTTGGATTGCCCCCGCTCTCGAGTTTCCAAATGTATAGAAGTTATTACCCGGCCCCTACATTCTTGGCCCCGATAGCAGTGGAAGGTAAAAAGGGTACCAGATAAATTGCGGGGTGAAATATGAATAACATACACAGAATCAGTCACTATTGTGATCATTCCCAGTGGAGGGCTGCCTCCCCACAACCCCCACCCAGGAATGAACAAAGAATGGTATTATTGGAAAAAGGCGTCACCACCGAATCGACCAAAACTAACCCTATACCCTTGAGGATATTTAATTATCAGTCACTTTTCAGTAAATAAACTTGTCTCGAAAATTAATAATAACAAAGTTATTTAATTATTAAAATAAATAAAAATTATAAAATGAGGTGAGATTCACACAGGAGCTGAGGAAATACTGACCAAATTCTCCACTGCGCATGCGCGGGTTTGTACCCATACTGTTCCTGTCATCTTGCCTGTGACATCATGGCCTATTACATGAACACGGAATGCTACCCCCTGAAGCGCCCTGCGAGCGGCCGTCGCATCGCTTGTGCTCACGCAGACCTCTCCAGTGCTTCCGCTCCTGCAAGCCGCTCCATTGATATCGAGGACCTTCACCCTGGCCTCTCCAAAAAGCATATGTATGTTTAAAGTTTATTTTTCACTAAAGTGACTAGATGTACAGTGCTTCAAGTGCTTACGAATGGCATGTGGAAATGCCGGATGCCGACTTTGTCCGAAGCTCTCTCTTGCTGTGAATACTTGGAGGATTCTTTGTTTTCCCGGGCAGGGGTTGGGGGGTAGTAGCCCCCCATTGGGGGGTTGCAGGGGGCACAGCCCCCTGTATTAAACAATATAGTGACTTAATTGGTACTGTCATTACAGCAGAGAAAGGGATTTCCATAGTGCACATGCAAAATATCAAGAGTGGTGCGACTCTGGTATGAAAAAGACAATCTAGTCACTTCTAATGTAAATGAGCACCAGAATCAACTGAACCAAAACAATAGAAATTGAACAAATCTAGTTTCGTCCCGAAAAGCGTTGGTGACGTCTTCCAAATTCACCTAAAGAATCATCCTCATATTCACGGCAGGAGAGAGTTTATGACTGCCATGCAGGAGCACCACTTCCCAAGTCTATCCAACACTCACTCTAGCTGTAAATATAATACAGTGCCTGATTCTGTGTATATTATTCACATATTACCCTGCAATTTCCTGGTACCTCTCATACCCTCCCCTGCTGCCGAGGCTAAGAATGTAACTAAAGGGTTTCCATGGAAATTTTTTTATATATTTGGAAACTTGAGAGTGAAAGAAGTATGACAATATCATCATCATCATGGTCAGATAAGCAAAATGATTCCTGAAGATATAATAATAAATAATAAGTAAATGCTATTGCTATTGTAATTTACTAGGTAAAGGTCTAGAAAACATTTATCTGTTGCCCCATCTGAGGGCTTCCAGCCTGTTGTTCAATGGCAAAGCCCAACAAACTTCTATCACATACAGTAGAGGAAGAGAGAGCTTTTATATTTCCCCATCTATATATCATTTACTTGGAGCTTGTAGTCCTCCATAGCAGTCTATCATAAGGAATGAGTCCTAGTTCAATTATGATGGTATATATGGGGTGAAGGTTTGGCTTTTGCCTTGATATGAAGTTTAAAGCCCACAGTAACTTCTTGACTGTGTGTCCCTATAAAAATGGACATGATTCCCATTATTTAGTATTTTTTGGCTGTATTGATGTTGGTGATAGCTTGAAAAAGCTGTATGATGTACACACCTACTGAAATAGTGGGATAAAGACAAAGGATGGTTCACTCTGCCCTGGTCTTTGTACAGTAGAAAGCTTTCTTGATACTAGATTGCTGCTGATTTGAATCTATCAACAAGCAACACATATTATGATTCATTACCTTATTTACCTGTTCAGCAACATTCATGAATGCTTAACAA